AGCTAGTAACACTGCCTCCAGTATTAGAGTTGAAAGGAATGTGCTGAAGTACACTTTTTTCTGTATAATCCAGGAAGGTCTTTCCTTACAGGTCAGTATTTTACAGAGTCAGCAGGAAAATAAATGGTGGCACATAAAGACATCTCAACCTAGAGTTGTCAATGCTTAGAGTTGGTAAGCTTGGGGAAATCATTTTCTCCTTAGAGAACTTGGATGGTCATGTCTTAACTTGTTTGAGCTGTGAACAATATGTTTTGGCTCTGGTTGTCTCTTTCGAACCTTCTCTAACTGTGACCTTCAAATAGATCTCTTCTTTCCCAGGATTGTTTTCGCTGAGCCTCTGCAGCGGTGGGCATGAAGTGCTGAAGAGTTCATGCAGCACCAGGTTCCTTGGCCCATGAACACTTTGCCCATAGTGCCCACTATGAGTGAAATTAATTAGACTTCTGCCATCCCAGTCAATTTCCCTCCCAGCAGGTTGTCTGGTTAGAGCTTCTCAGAGCTGAGATTGAGTCTCTAGTTCTCTTAGGTGCTGGGTTGGGCATTTAAAAAAATTAGATCAAAGAAAGACTTGGTTATAAAACAAGTCAAAAGGAAAAAGAAAAGAAAAAGGAGAATAATGGTCAAGACCAATTAGTATTTCTTTTTAAATTATTTAAATAAAACCACTTTGTTATAATAAACAAAAACATCATCCTTTTAGTTTACAGTAACTACTCAAGCACACACTTGCCCAATTCCAATAAAATAGTATTTCTTTATTCCTGGTCATAATGGAGTAATACTCAGTGGAAAGAAACTAAGGAATTAACAGAATGTCATTGGAAAAAATATATGTCTTTTTCCTAGATTTTTAAAATTTGTAGTAGTTGAAGTAATGGATATTGAACCGGGGCTAAGCGAGCACTCTACCATTCAGCTTTGTCCCCAGCCCTGTTAATTGTTATTTGTTAGATGAATTTGAAGTTTTTTTTTTTTTTTTTTTTAAAGAACTTAAAAATAAGCTCAGCTCAGTACTTTGTGATGACTCAGTGTGGAGTGTAGCTTCCAACACATGCTTCATGAGCCAGGTTTACTCTCTTAACTCACGTTAAAATTCACATCTTCATTGCTGCGCTGCCCAAAAGTAGGAAATCTGCAACTTCATTCTAGGCAGCAACGATAACTGGGATTTGTAAAACTGCCTAAGGTATATTAACTTGTTACTAGACAGACAAGCCTATGAGACTGGGGCTCATGACTTGCACCAACTGGTGAATGCAGCGGTTTGCAACAGCATGCCCTGTGTATAAGACAGCTAACCGTCTGTGATGGCAGATGATGCTGTAGTTATAAATGCTTCTAGGGCAGAGTTTGACCAATGGAACATTTAATTACATTTATAAGTATTTTTATTCTATGTAAGCAAGTTTTGTGAGGTTAGTTACTTACTACTAAATGATTTTGCTGTTATTCATTTATATCATCCCTCTACTCAGGATTTGAGGCAAACTGAAAAAATACTTGGGAGACAGCTCAGGCAATAAACATGCTATGTAAACATGAAGACCCGAGTTCTGATCGATCCCCAGTGCCCATGAAAAGCCATGCATGGTGGCACGTGTCTATAATCTCAGCACTGGGAAGGCAGAGATGAGGAGGATCCCTGGAGCTTAGAGATACTAGACAGCTAGCCTTGCTGAGTCTGTGAGCTCTAGTTTCTGGGGGAACAATAGAACACACACACACACACACA